TGAAAATATTAAAACAGCCCTGGAAGGTGTGGCTCAGTTGGTTGGGGATCCTCCCTCGCACCAAGAGGTCACAGGTTCAATTCCTGGTCATGGAACATGCCTGGGTTGCAGGCTTGATCCACGGTAGGGGGCTTGCAGGAGGCAGCTGATCAATGGTTCTCTCTCATCAATGTTTCTCTCTCTCTCTCTCTCCCTTCCTCTTTCTAAAATCAGTAAAAATATATTAAAACAAACCTTCTGCTTATTTTAAGTAATACATATACCATTTAGAAAGAGCCACCTTATTAATATTTTGACAGACATCTCAGACTCTTATTACATGAAAATACAGTTGACCAGGGCCGGGGACCGAACTGCAACTGAGGTACGTGTCCTTGACCAGAATCATACCCGAGACTCTTTGGTCGGCAGGCCAACGCTCTAACCACTGAGCCAAACTGGCCAGAGCTAATAGGTAAAAATGTAAATCTCAGTGTTTAAACCGGCATTTTTTTCCTTACATTTATTTCATTATTACATTTTATAAAAGCTGTTCATTGGCCATGTGTAGTTTTTCTTGTGTGGATTCCCTACATCCTTAACCCATTTTTCTGCTGGGTTGCTGGTATTTTTCTCTAGGACTTTTAAAGTTTTTTTTTTTTTTTTTTTTTTTTTTATCCTCACCCGAGGACATTTTTCCATTTTTTGCTCAGGTAGAGTGGGAGGGAGAGAGAGGAACAGAGAGAGAGAGAGAAACATCGATGTGAAAGGGACACATCGAGTGGCTGCCACCCGCACAACCGACCAGGGCCGGGGACAAACTGCAACCGAGGTACGTGCCCTTAGCGGGAACCGAACCCGGGTCTCTCAGGACCGCAGGCTGATGCTCTAACCGCTGAGCCAAACCGGCCAGGGCTCTCTAGGACTTTTAAAAACCTTTATATATTGAGGATAGTACTTGTTACAAATATATTCCCTTAATTTTTAAATTGAGATATAATTGACATAGACCATTATATTAGTTTTGGGTATACAACACAATTTGATATTTGTATATATGGCAAAATGTTCACCATAGTGTCTAGTTAACATCCATCACCACACACAGTTACAACCTTTTTTATTCTTGTGATGAGAACTTTTAAGATCTCTCTTTGCTGCTTTCAAATATACAATACGGTATTGTTAACTACAGTCACCATGCTGTACATGACATCCCCAAGACTTATTTCTTTTATAACTAGAAGTTTGTACCTTTTGACCCTCTTCATCAATTTCACCCACCTCTGGCAACCAATGTATTCTCCCCCCCCGCTCCCCCCCCATATTCCACATATAAGTGAGATCATACAGTATTTGCCTTTCTCTGGTTTATTTTACTTAACATAATGCTTAGTGTAATGTTTTATCTTTGGGTTTGTGGTGATTTGGGGCATTTGGAAGTTTTGCATTTTTATGCAACCAGAGCCACCATCTTTCTCTGTGCAGATTCTGCCTCCCGCTGTCGGAGCCACACGAAACCTATTTCTCCACTCCAGGATGACCTGTTTGTTAAGGTGCCTCTATTTTTTGTAGACACATTGCATCTTGTGGTTTTCCAACTTGCTGACTAGAGGTAGTGATGGCTGGGTCAAGGTGTGACCCAGATGGTATTTCTGCTATGCAGATTTTAGACGCAAAAGTGATACTGAAGTCTCTATTATCTAGAGACCTGTCTTCATCATAGAGAATACGAACTGAACTGAGCTGCGCTAAGGCCAATTCTTTGCTTCTTATGCAAGGAGGTAGAAGTAATGGTGTCTTCTCCCCAGAACCCAGCAAATAGGCTAGGCTTATTATAGCAGGGACATTTCACCAGAGTGAGAATACCTGAGGGACAAAAGTGGCCTGCCAACAAGGAAGAAATGAACTCTCCAGCAGTAGCCTGGCATGGGCTCCCCTCCCACAGGGGTTGTTGATCGCTCGGGCTTTTACAATTCTCGAGCCCTGTTCCAAGGAGCTTTTGTGGTTTCAATCAATGTGCTTCTGGGAATAAGTGCCCTTATTATTCCTAGTTTACATTGTTTGCTGTGCTCTTATACCACTGTGACATAATGCCCTTTGTGCAGCTGAACAATAACAGTCCTTTCAGGAATCTCTAAGAGCTTTCTAATTAGGACCCACGACAACACGACAGATGTAGAAACAGAAGCCTAGGGACAGAGATGGCAAAGCTTCACCTCGGTCACAAAGGAGCCAAGCCCAGGTCTGACTCCTCTTGGGAGGCTGCAGGTTCTGGGTTACACCACTGTCTAGGAGTGGAGGCTACAGTGGTGCCCGCTGTATTACTAGGCTGCCCGAGCGCATAGCAGGGAGGGCTGGGCCCCTGGCAGTACTGCTTAGACTTACCTAAGCAGCTGAGCTATGGAGTCGAGGACTGAGAACCAGAAATTCCTAGCATGGGCTGAGCATAGCTCTTGAGTTTATAATCAGTGCTCAGTGAGTAAGCTTCTAGGATGAGAGACTGTATTAAGTAAGGCTAGGTCACTTGAAACTGAATTCTGCATTAAGTAATTACACTTGATCGACTGCCTACTATGTGCAAAGATGAACTCCCAATCCCCCACTGTGGATGTTCACATGGAAAAAGAGACAGATATAGAAGCAAGGAGTTATAAGAAGCCGAGTGCTGCCCTGGCCCGTCTGGTTCAGTAGCTATAGTGTCAGTCCTCAGACTAAAGGGTTGCAGGTTTGATCCCCAGCCCCGGTTGGGGTCGTGTAGGAAGCAACCAATTGATGTGTCTCTCTAACATTGATGCCCCCCTCCTTCTTCTTCCCTCCCTTCCACTCTAAAAATCAATGGAAAAAAATATCCTCAAGTGAGGATTCACAAAACAAAACAATAACAACAAAAAAGAAGCTGAGTGCTTTAATAGAGAGCAGACCAGAAGGTCAGGGTAGCACCCAGCTCTGTGGGGCCTTCAGGAAAGCTTCTTGGAGAGGACTTTAACCTGGGCAATGTTCAGAGGTTGACGGAGCCCGCTACCTACACAGAGCTGTAGGGAGGAGAGCACTGCACGCTGAAGGCTGTGTGTACAAAGGTCTGGAGGTGAGAAAGGCACTGGGAATCCGAGAGCAAGGAGAACCTCAGCATGTCTCAGGTGGCCATGGTTATCCCTTGTTCTTTCTCTGTTCTAGTTTTATAGCCAAAAACCCTGTCCCTTTTATTCTCAAAGTCTTATTTTGGATATTGAAGAGACTGAGCTTGTTTTTCGTCTTTGCGGTACTGCTTTAACCCTCCACGTCCCAGAGCACTGTGGATGCCTCTGACTAGGGAATGATCATGTGCTGGGCAGTGCCCAAAAGAAAAGCAGAGAAGACTGTTTCACCGCATTGTAAGGACACACGGGCAGCTCGGGGAACCTTGGGCACGAAATCAGCTTGGCCATTTTCTTTTACTGTTTCTATAGCACAAAACATTGTCTTGTCTGACTCCCAAGGTCCCCTGTCACAGGTCCAGCCGCCCAGGCCCTGTGGTCTCAAGCTCGTGGAGTAGAAGCTGTAGCTGAAAGCAGGTGGAGTGTGGGGGTGCGGGGAAACAGGAGCGGGCCGGCAGTCTGACAGGTGACCCACACAGGAGGAAAAGCATTGTACTGGAGCCGTGTGAACCTGAGCTGCAGCTGGCTCTGGAGTCAGGCTGGATTGGAGTGGCCACCTCGGCTTTCTTTCTCTGCCTTTCTTTTCTTTGTATCTTTCATTGCTCACTCCACCTCCCGCAGGGTCTTCTGGCACTGTATAGACTTCCTCAGTCAATGAGAACAATACTGGGGTGTACTCCTCAGGTCCAACCTCTGTGCGGTTTTGGTACCTCTGCTCGCCCTTCGCACCAAACACTGATCACCCTACCATGTGTGACAATCACTGACCAAAGCTTCCTGAGAGCAGGGACTCGACCTGGTGCAGGGCCCTCCCTATAACAGGTACAATCAGTCCATGAAAAAGGAAGGAGAGACAGAGAAAGGGAAGGAGGGAGAAAGGATGGAAAGGGAAGAGCCTGGCAGGAAGGTGAAACCCTAATCACTCAAAGCGACAACCTAGTCTAAATTCTGCCCAGGAGAAGCTATTGCTGGAGGAGAGTGAAGACTCTAAGGACTCAGACAGATAAATGGTCCTTTCTTTTAAAAATCATTTTTCCCCTTAATTGATTTTAGAGAGGAAGAGAAGTGAGAGAGAAAGATAGAAACATCGATGAGAGAGAACATTGACTGGCCGCCTCCTGCATGCCCCCCACTGGGGATCGGGCCCACAACCTGGGCATGTGTCCCAACCGGGAATCGAACCAGCGACCTCTTGGTCCACGCTCAACCACGGAGTCACAGGTCGGACTCTTTTTAACTTTCTTGCGAGCTCCAGGCGCTGGTCCACTCCCTCCTGTCTCAGGCCTCCAGCCTGAGCTGCACTGCCGACCACCACTGAGCCTCCGCGGTGCCAGCGGGCTGCTCCTTCCATCTTCCCACTGCTCGGAGCTCAGCGCTAGAAAGCTTGCTTCACACCCCTTGTCTCCGAGGCGGACACCAGGTTAGCAGGCGGATTGGTCAGGGCTGCCCCATGCAGGGATGTGAACAAGGGCTGGAGGCCAAGGAGTAGTCAGAGGCTGATAGGGGTGGGACAGTGGAGGAAGCCATTTGTTCTTATCAGTGGCACACGGTAACATTAGCCACCATGCGTCCACCTTTACGCTGAGCGGGAGGGCCAGGCAGCCCGACTGTGAACAGGATACAGGCCGTGGAGGAACCCTGACAACTGCGCCTGGCCGGTGAGTCAGAATGTGGAAGGGACAGGGTTTTCAGTGAAGGACAGCAGTAGTCAGGTGGAGGGAAAACAGGGACAAAGCCATGAGGGTGAGAATGCACCAACCGAGCTCACGGGATGCCCAGGAAGTTAGCTATGCCCCAGACTGGGGTACATCGAGGGGTGGTGAGAGGTGGGGCTTGGTGTAGGCTGGAGTCGCACTGTGGGGGGTCGTAAACGAGAGACTGAACCAGGCACCTGAACCCAGAACCGCTGTTTGTCGTAGCGGCAGGTTAAACAGGTGCAGAAAGCAAGCAAATCTCATCGCTTTCGGGGGCTGTGGTGATGCCCCTCAAAGTGAATTGGGAGGTTCTACTCCCTGGGGGAAAAAGAAAAAAAGGTGGGGGGAAGGAAAAGAAAAAAAAAATGAGCGAAGAAAGGGAAAAAGAAGAGATTCCGGATGTATCAGGGACGCCCTGGGAAGAGGGCCCCACGGGACAAGAGGAGTGAGTTGGGAAGCAGTAGGAAGGCGTACTCAGAAGAGACAGACACTAGCAGCAAGGACAATGGGGAGCGAAGGTGACAGTCCAGGGAGAGGTAACGAGGTTGTGACCTAGGATGGGGACAGAGCGAAGAGACACCGTGATGGAGAGTCCCCCTTCCTCAGAAGTAGGACAGTTCCTCTCCCTGCCTAGACACATATCTCATATAAACACATACAGACACACTTAGGAGGTGAGAGAAAACATAACCTCTCCACTCTCCCTCTTTTCTCAGCTGTCAAGCTCAGGGGCTCTCCCTCCAGGGGCCCTCCCTCCCGCTTCTCCCCCAGTGGCCAGAGGCATTTGCTCTAAGGACAGAAAGAGTCACGAGGGGGCTATTTATATCTGCAGCGTACTGCCTCAGCCCTCTGTCTGGAGGGCATGTGCTGGGTGGGGAGCAGGCTACACCCCATCTCCCAGACAGAGCCCTCGGTAGGGGAGTCTGCCCTGCATGAATTCCTGCCGGCAGAACGGGGCCAAGAGCTCAGAGAGGCTGTTGACAAAGGCATCACTTTGGTTGGACAAAATAGCTCACACAGTCCAAATGCTACCTTCCTTAAGTATTTAATTATTTTCACAGTTCACGAAGTTCTTCCTTATGCCCAACCTAAATTTCTTACTGCAATTTTGTCTTTCATGTTCTGTTTGGGAGAGAGAGAAAACTCCAAAACCTGATCAGTCAGGTAGAAAGTGTCCATTGAATCATGGGGCTTGTGCCCAGTCGATGTGATGGCAAGAACTAACCTTGGATATAAGCCCATTTATTTTGCAGTTGCTAAATGACTCAGAAAGAATGACAGAGAAGCCTGGGTTGGCTCGTTGAGCTGGTGACACTTCCCTTTAGGTTCTCAAATGACCTGGAACACCCCTTTCCTTTAAAGCAGAGATGATCTGCAACATAACTGTTTCACAAGGCTAAAGTTTCTTTGCCTGCTGTTGTCTGAGCCAGCAGGCCATGCTGGCCACTCCACCACAGAGGCAGGAGGCAACCAACATTTGGTGAGCCCCTGCCAAGCAGCAGGGTTTGTGCATGTAACATTATATTTAATCTTCACTGCAGGGCAGTTATTAGCCCCATTTCACAGATGAAGAAGCTGAAGCTCACACAACTGTTAGGAGAGGAAACTGAGACTCAAACCTGGAGCCTGGAGCAGTGAAGGGAGCTGCTCATTTCCATTAACAGGACAGGGTAACTTTAGCCACCATTTGTCCACATTTATGCCAACCCCAAGGGTCAGGCAGTGGATCGTACACAAGACTGGATTCGATACTGGGACCAGTACAATGTCAGGTCTGGCTGGAGGAATCAGGGCACGTGTGTTTCTGCCAGATCTGGAGGGACAGATGGGTTTTTCAATGTGGCGTAGCTGGCGTCAGGGGAGACTGCATTCTGATTAATACTATTTCTATTTTCCTGTGACCAAGGTTTTGGGGAGTTTACCACCTCCCTCACACACACAGAATTGAAGCAGGAGGTTAATTAAGATCACCATGAGGGGTTTAGGGTGGATATAAGAAAAAACTTAGTGAACTGTGAAGAGGTTAGATATGGGAGGGGCAGATGCTCAGGCTGATAAGGGCCACACAGGAAAAGACAGTGACTCTGACCTGGATACAGACCTGTGCAAACTCATTCCTTTCCCCTTCCACAGGAGGAAATGATCAACCACCAAGGAAGCTCAGGCCCACCCAGCATGATCAAAGCCCTCCCTCCCACGGTCTGTGCAAAAATAAGTGGCATAGCTGTGAACCCAAGGAACTTGTCTGTCATTGTATCCCAGTTCCTGGTAGGCTGTGTGTGTTCAATAAACATTTCTTGAATAAATAAAAGGTCATCTGTTTTCAAAATTGTTTGTGTCCTTGTTGGCTGAGGCTTTGGCATAGGTCTGGGAAATCTGCTTCAGTTTACAAACTCCCACTCAGGCAAATTTTGCTGATTGAGCTATTGTGCCCTGTGATCTCAGTTGAGTTACCTCCAGTATTCAGGGTGAAGGAAAAATGCTTTCTATCAGCTACTCCTGGTTGCCATGTGGGGGAGGGGACAGGGACAGGAGTGCTTAGGACACTCACAGGCCTCTCCTGTGTCAAGGGCCCTCAAGAAGGTTCCAGATGTGCTCACCGAGACAAGTCTAGCCATGGCTAATAAGCTTTTGAGTATCCCAGGGGATACTGTAACACTAATTAGGATAGATCCGATGCTGCCTAAGTGATTCTGTGACTGCAGTCATTTCTCCCTAATGCCCGGATAACTTGAAATGTGACATTGAAAGGGGTTCATGTCATCCAACAGCCTGGCCAGAAGCAGCAGCAGCTTCTGCAACATGAGACAATATTTACTTCTTTTTGAGTGTGTGCTCCCAGCTCCTTGAGGCTAAATATTGACTTTACACTTTAGGGGTGTACCTTTTTTCCAAATGCTCTTCTTTCTGTTCCTCTCTGGCTTCCAAGCAGTGGGTACTCAATTGTCTCTGATTATGTCAAGAAGAGGCTCTCTGAGCAGGAAGGAACACTTGTATTCCAAGTGCTGCAAAAGGAGAAAATGCCAAATGATGGCCAGTTTTCTAATCATCTAGGAGCCTGTCCTGACGGCTACACACAAAGAAAGATACCATCAGAATTTCAGAAATGGCAATTTTTTTGTGCTCTGTCAACAGCTTTTATAAAGCCCTCTTCACATTTTCTGAAAATAGGTCTTTTTCTGTCAGTTGAGGGCTCTGTCAGTTTCCATTTGTACCTCCCACAGCTCAGGGCCTGGCATGGTGTGGGCTCACCCCACGAAAGGCCCTCTCCCCGACTGGCATTTCCACAGTAGGCGTTTCATCTACATCTCCTGTCATGTGGGGAGACCTTCGGGGCTCATGCTGTCTGCCTTCATTGGTGGGTGGGGGTGGGGAAGGGAAAAGCAAGGTGAGGGTTCGAAGTGTTACCAATTCACCATCACTTTGCTCATCTCCTCAAGGTGAGATGACACATAAGCAAAAGGTATCATTAGCTTCACTATTTCCGGCGGTGGGGTGGAACTCTTGAGGCAACACAGCCTACTTTCACCTTCCACGGTGTCAGGAAACAGGAGAACTAGACATTAGTATCTTCTCATAACCCCTGTCTAAGTCGGTCCTATTTTATTTGTCCTAGTCCTCTATTTTAAATAGTTGTGATTAACAGCCACAAATATGCTTCATCAAAATCCACAAATAAAATCTCCCAAGAAAACCAACAGGTTCTTCTTTCTCTGCATACAACCTGTTTTTCTTGAACTCATCCTGACTCTTGAGGGTACTGATTGGGTAAGAAGTTCATTTTCCTGATTGTTCTGATTCATTTGATACTACTTCACCTTCATGATTTTACTAAAAAAATTATCTGGAAAAAACAATAAAACTATATTTTAGTCTCAGTTTGCCAGGTAGGTATCATTACACCAACGCTACACCTGTAGACATGATCCATAAGGAAGACAATCCCCAAACTCATTTCATCAAGTTTCAATCTTTAACCACACCTAAAGCATAAGCAAAGAGGGCAAACTGTACAACAGACTTGGCTGTGCAGGAGAGAACTGCTCTGGGAGAGATTAACAAGCAGAAGGACAAGAAAAGGTACAGACGGAAAAGTGTTTCGCAACTGTAATAGGTTTGAAAATAGTTAAATTACAACATTTAGCACTCTTAAATAGAATGTGGAAATCAGTGGCTGCAGGTCCTGGTATGTCATTTAAGAAAAAGATGATTCACTCTATTTAAATCCCAGTTACGATTAAAGATTAAATTGTTCATAGAATCAGTACTTTAGACTACAGGCCACGGGATAATGGACTAGCTCCAGCCAAGCCAATAAAATACATAGCCCATGATGTTGAAAGGTCTTTGTGTTCTCGGGGAAGATATGGAAAGACCACAACCTCCTGGAGTGCCGTTGTTAGAAAATCTAAGCCAATTCACCAGACTTTTTGACTTCTCTCAATACATCCCATCATACTTATAATGCTGGTGACATAGGCTAAATCCAAGGGCACATAAAAAGAACAGGGCTGGTAAGTGAAAGAAGCCAAGCAGAAAAAGACAAATACCACATGATCTCATTTATATACGGAATATAATGAACATAACAGTCTGAGGAATACGGTAGACCCAGAAACATGGGAGTAGGGCACAGACTGACATCCCTCAGAAGAGGGGGTGGGGGGATGGGAAGAGATAAACCACAGAACTTATGTGCATGTATGCATGACCAATGGACATGGACAACTAAGCCGGGGACAGGGTGGGGGTGGGGTTGGGGAGGGGAGTGCCAATGGGGTAAAAAAGGTGAAATATCTGTAACAAATAAATAAATAAATAATAAAAAAATAAAAGGATAAGAGATCAAAAACAAACAAACAAACAAAAAAGAACAGGGCTAGGTGTTTGGTTGAGTGACATGGCATTGTATTACCAGATGCAAAGCAAATACACAGACCCCGAACGCCTTGTTATCTGCACACTCTTCTATGGGAAACTGTTGGTGTGTCAAAAAATTCCAATGTAGAGTCCTCATCTAGAATCTTAAGAGCTACCTAGGTCCTAAGGGAATAGTGGGTCTCATTTCTTCACTTCTCACACTCTAGCACTGTCCAATTCTAGAGGAAGTAGCCATATGAGACTCTTTGAATTTAACTGCTTTCAAAGAAAATAAAAGTTTCAGCCAGACTAGCAATATTTTAGATACTCAGTAGCTGTATGTGACTAGTGGCTGTACTGGATAGCACAGACTTAGAACATTTCCATCACCACAGAAAGTTCTTTGGGACAGAGCTGCATATACTCTATGTACCAGGTAGCAGGGTCATCTTATTCTCA